GTTAGTTAGGATTTTATATAAATATTATGTTAGCATTTCTTTCGTAAGTGAATATTTTTTGTTCTGTTATAAAAGCATTTAGAAAAATTGTGTGAATATATTTTTCAAAGAAAAGCTCCAACAATTGTTTTATTTAAATTAAAAAACACAAAAACAGTTTGGGGTACCTCAGTACCCCACGCGAGTACCTACGTGACTTTCCCCGCGCGAGTACTGGAAGGTTAAAATACTTCTAAATCCCTTTTTAGGCTAAATATAGTGACAATGATACAATAGCAGGAATTTCCATCTTATGCTCAACAAGATATTTGCTTTTAGCCAAGAATCTCCTCGGATCACGACAACTATTAGAAAAACGTAGCAAATCCTTACATTATTTTCAATATCGCGAATTCCGTTTCCGTATTGTTCACCTTCCAAAATCACGAATTAAGCCGAATTGTTTGTTGTTGTGTATCATGGTTGTTAGATATTTACTTTCATTTTCTTTAGCTTATTTAATTTATCCACGTTTATTAATAATACTTGCTCTACGTGAGTAAGCCCAGTACGAATATCCTGAATATCACTTTCAGAGAAAAGAATGTATGCCAATGTATTGGTTTGTCAGTTTGGTAGGCAATGGTAGGCAAATTAGCCCAAAGTCTGCTCTTACATTTTAGTGAGAAACAATGCAATGTAATCGTCCTAATCTATTCTAATTCGTTGGACCGGCTGAAGCGAATGGCTCCTTGACAAACATGCTGTTCTAGAACACCCTGTACAATTTATTGCTGATAATGGTAATGATAGACGTTTGCGTGATAGGGAATCCCCGATTCGAATTGGCCGAAGGCAAGATAACGCTCTACACCAGACGATTGACTGGCGTCAGTGTCCTTGCTCTATATAAGTGCCTGCAGCTGAACTAGGGCGCTGTGGCTGCCCTTATCAAAGTCCTATATACAAAAGGTACAGGGTGAATCAGAGTAAATTTCCCTTTTTAACATGGTATAAAAACAAAATTAAAAGTGATGCCATAATTTTAATCATAGATTTGTAAAGTACAGGGATGCGGATTTCACTTTTTAAACACAATGTTGTCCAAATTTTGTCCATCCTGCTCATAGTATTCCTCCAATGATGCTCTTAAATGCTGCAATGTCCCCTGGCACATTTCAATGGGAATGTTGTTAATCGCCTGTCGAATGTTGTCTTTTAACTGCTCCGTAGTGGCCGGAGGATCGGTGTAGACGATACTCTTTAAATATCTTCACAAAAAAAAAAATCGAGGGGCGTAAAATCTGGCGATCTTTTCGGGAAAGTGATATCCCCAAATTTCGAAATAACAGTTCCTGGAAACAATTCACGTAAAATGTTCATTGATGTTGCTGCTGTGTGTGCTGTCGCCCCATCTTGTTGAAACCAGGTCCCGTTTGAATCGTAGCCAGTTAAGTTTTGAAGAGCCGGAGTCAAAAATTGCTGAGGCATTGCAGTGTGCTGTTGACTTGTCACAGTTACAGAGCGGCCCCGGGAATCTTCAAAAAAGTAGGACCCAATTATTTCAGTGCCGACATGGCACACCAAACTGTAACCTCCTTGGAATGCAGTTGCTTTTGATGCTTTTTTTTGGGTTGTTGTCACACCAGTACCGACAGTTCTGTTTGTTTGCGTAGCCCTCCAGGTGGAAGTGAGCCTCATCGCTGATGGAATGTGGTCTATGCCAAACATATTCATCATTGTCTCACATTTTTTTTTCGGATTTCGTGATTTTAAAAACTGTACCAATTGAATTTTGTACGGATGAAACTGTCCTTTGTTAAAATCTGTTGAACACTTGAGGGATGAATATGCAAGGCCAGAGCATGTTTTCTGATTGAGCGCCTGGGATTGTCATTCGAAGCACGGTGCACAATCTAAATGTTCTCTGCCGTTCTGATGGACTTCTGCTTCCCTGGGCACTTCTGGCTTTCTACTGTACCTGCTTGTCGAAATCTTTCAATCCAGAATATCACAAAATTTTTCGACGGAGCATCACGTACACGTCGAATATTGTAACAGTTGCAAAAAACTCGCCGTGCCGCGACATAGGAATGTTTACCAGTGGGGTAAAACGTCTTATGGGCGAACTAGCAACATCAAGGTCATCCTCTCTGTATTCCTCTAAAGGCAAAATCGAGGTAACTGTATTACCAGTATCTCGTGACGTGCAAAGCGGCGATTTGACGGCTTCAAACGGATAGCTTGGCGATAGAGAGATACTTTAATGGTGCCCAGTATCCAGCAAACTGGCGATATCTGGCGATTCTTAACATTTCTGACACCAATTAATTTGTAATCAATATTTTCTGATATGTGTATACAGAGAAAATCAAATTTGTCTGACGGCTTGAGTTCAATTTGTACGAGAGACCGAGAAAGTGTGTATCGACAGGTTAGAAAGAGATGGAAGCCAGCTGAAGAACGATGGCCTAGCAAGGGCGACTCAGGTGCTCGTGTAAGCTTCCGCGTTGCCAAAATGTTAAACCAGAAAATGTTCGCACAGGCTTCTACAATAGGTTAGGTTACTGTCAAACCCAAGAAGGAGGCCTACTCGAAGCAGGGCGACACTTCTCAATGAGCGCTAGATGGGTACGGACCAAAATCGCTCGTCTATGATCATGAAGGTGGAAACCTTACCTTGAAATGTACAAGATCCGTAGAGAGTAAACTAACGCATGTTTTCAACATGCACCTTAATTCAAGGAACTGGTGTAACATAATGGCAACCAGGCGCAGATTGCCGAGTCAGCGTAAAGGTTGATTCTCACTATACATTCCGTTTCCATTCCGTAACCGTTCCATAAATTATTGAAATTAAATATTCGCCTTCGCTGAAAGCAGGCTATTGCGTGTGTATGCACATTATCCGTAAGGTATACTGTGTATACAATCGCATTGTACGGAACGTTTACGAAACTGATATGGAATGGAAACGGAATGTATAGTGAGAATCAACCTTTAATAATGATGTGCTTCGCTATCCAGCTTCTATCTCTGTCTAACACACTGGCGCTCCCACGGGGGGGTATTCACGCTATTTTCTATGTTCTATTGATTTTTTATTTTACACGCATAAGACAGAAAATTAATTTTTGTTTGTTTTTAATTTTTATACTATAAAAGAATCGTATCTAAAAAAAAGACAGACGGAAAAATGGAAATTCAATATAGTTTCAATTACGAAGTGTTTGGTCTATACTCCAGCTATCATTATCATCTATGTATATTTTGGCTCGGAAATCCCTGTATATAAGCACTTCAGTGCATTTCGTTCGTCCGAGATGGCAAATTATATATTTAGTTTTTGAAAATTCCGTGATCTTAAGAAATCTTGTTTTCCGAACAGAAAAGATTCTTCGTTATGAGATACGTGAACGCGTGGAAACCAATAATGCCGTTTATTTGACAATATTTGTGCAACTTTTAGTGCTGGTTGACGGCTGCTGTTGTCAGGATGAGTAAAAGGAAACAGAATAACATCGGTTACCATTGGTTCCTTTTTAAACAAAACAAACTGTCTGATCTACCGGCACAAGAATTACCGGAAAAAACTGATGATAATCCTACAATTCAACCTGAGCCTTTCACTTCAAAATTTCTTGATGTTGCACCATATGCTGAACCAAGTGTTGAACAATCGGGTGGGAAACCTAAAGGATCCAATTTTGTTGGTGTTGCGCCATATGTAGATTTCAGCGGCAACTTGTCTTCCCATGAAAAATATACCTTATTGAGGGGTGTAATGATCCCTTATGACTCTTTCAGATATCCCTATTCCACACACTTGAAAAATAATAAAGAAGTGAAATGTTACTTATCAAAAAACACTTTGAGAATTTTCCTTGGCTGTCATATTCAGAGGAACTACAAGTGCTTGTCTGTAAATATTGCGTGGTTTTTGCAAACTTAGGAGGAGTACATAAATCAACTAAATTGGAAAAACTTGTTACCGTACCACTAAAGAAATTTTCGAAATTGTATGGCAAAACCGGTGATTGTGAGACACATGAGAACTCAATATAGCATACACAGGCAGTTTCAGAAGCTACAAACTTTTTAAAGATTCACGAAAATCCAGAATGGTATAAGAAATATAATATGTTCAGAGCGAATTAAGCAAGTATTAGAAAATCGGCAAAGATTGACTCTTACAATAGAATCTATAATAATTGTTTTAGGACGCCAAAATATACCATTTACAGGGGATTTTAGAGAACTAATACGGTTTAGAGTCGAGAACGGTGACAATTTATGGAAAAAAAAACTTAGAGACCGCAAAAGCGCATGCTACGTACATAAGCTGTCGCTATAGAATGTTGTGGCGAAGAAATCTTGGATATAGTTTTAAGTCGCGTCAGGCAAATTCAGTATTACAGAATTATATTTGACGAAACTACAGACATTAGACATAAATCACAAATGTCGATCGTATTGCGGTATTGTTATCAAAAACATATTTACGAAGACTTCATGGGATTTGTGGATTGCTACTCAAATTTTGATGAATATACAATGGAGCCCAAACTCACAGGTCAAATTCTTGCTCAAACAGTCACGCATTTCACTAAAACCAATAACTTAGACTCAATACTATGTGTGGGCATTGGTACTGATACGTGTAACCTAAAGATGCGATTCCACCAGTGTGCTGAACTGTGCGGCACTCTAATGCACAGTGTACAGCACAAATGTTTCTTCTGGTCGACTCTCTCACGCAAACAATAGCAAATTGTGCGCGAACATTTCGGAAACGTTCGCGCACACATCAGTTACTTTTGTGCGCGCACATACAAGCAGTGGACTCGCGTTGGCGCGTACATACTTGTTGTTCGCGAACAAAGTGTTGCTTCCACTCCTGAAGTGAAAACATTTGTTCGTACGCGCACTTTTTTTACGATATTAAAAATGGACTGGACGAATGATCAAATGATAAGATTTATTCAAGCAGTTGAAACGTATCCTCTTCTATGGGATTCCAGTCACAATGATTATAAGAATAGAAACAAAAAACACGACGCCACTCAAGAGTTGACTCAAAGTTTCAATTGTGACTTGACTGAGGTAATGAGAAAATGGAAGATTATTTTGGCTCAATACCGAAGAGAAAAGAAGAAAATATCGGATTCAAAATCTTCAGGTTCTGGGTTTTCAGATGTATATAAGCCAAAATGGTTTGCTTATGCATATTTGAATTTCTTTCATGCAAGGGATGAACCGAACACCAGCATGAACTCGCAAGATGAAATAAATGAACAGGTACATTCAGTTTTTTTATTATTTTATAACTCGATTATACTTAGGTATGCTTTTTACGCTAGTGTTTCTTGCCATGGCACCATTCCGATGTCAGTTTGAAAATAATTTGCTAGTTCTTCCCTTATGTCTTTCGCATCGCCAGTTGGTATTCTTCCGATATTTCTTAATGGTAGTAAGTTTGCCATGGGTGCATCGCGCCGCCAACTTTCATCGATAGCGCTATGGGTAATTCGGTTTTCAGTGTCGAAAATGCCAGGAGAAGTGTAAAGCTGTGAAGACGACTTTTGTGTCATCAAAAAATTATGCAAATAACAACATGTCAGTGTTATTAATTGTGCCTTTTCTGGAGCTAAAAGCATGGGTTTCCTGAGTACGCGAAATACAGCGGACAAAATCCCAAATACATTTTCCACAATACGTCTCGCTCTGCTCAACCGATAATTGAATATTCTTTCTTTCGATCTTTTGTCATGTTGACCGGGATATGGTTTCATTAAATTCATATCTAATGCAAAAGCATCGTCTACAGCAATGACATATGGAATTGGTGTCTTCCTCCCGGGTAGCGCAGTAGGTTGAGGTAAATTTAATTGTCCTTGCTCAAGATTAACATAGAAACCCGTATTTTTGAAAACACTACCATCCGATATTCTTCCTTTACAACCGACATCTACGTACGTGAATTTATAATTTGCATCAACCAATGCCAAAAGTACAATGCTGAAATCGCCTTTGTAATTAAAAAAGTCACTTCCAGTATTATTTGGAGCTTGTATAACAATATGTTTGCCATCCATAGCACCAATGCAGTGAGGGAAATTCCAATGTTTTTCAAATTGACGTTCTATCAGCATCCATTCTTCTGCAGTTTTAGGCATCTGAAAAACAAAATATTATTTCAGCTAATACAAGAACATACTACAGTAAATGAAAGTCAAGAGTCATCTCATGAAAGGCCAGTAGAAAAGTTTAAGGCTCCAAAGAACTCGTTGAAACGTCGTGCTGTCGATGAAGACCCGAGAATTTCCCATGCTTTGTCCATTATGGACAACGTAAATAAGCAGATGGAAGCAAGAAAACGTGACGATGATGACATTTTTGCTGCAGGCGTCGCAACGAAATTAAGAAAAATTAAAGATGAGCGAAAGAAGATTTTAGTGCAAAGGGACATTGATAATTTGCTGTATGACGCGATTATTGGTACTGGAAAATATGCTACGACTCGAATTCCTTCACCTTATTCAGATTCGTCAAACTCACAAGGTCAGGTACCGCTTTCAAGTTTTCAAGCCCGCAATGGTGATTTTGACGACGACCTTTTACGCCAGCATAACAGCGAAATATTAACTTGGCAAGATATGTAGCAATAAATGTTAATAAATATGGTTTAGCTTTCTTACCTTAATGTTTTCTTTCAGTACGCTTATCAACCCCTTACAAGTCTCAGGTACAATCCGAGCAATAAGTTCTTTTGAAACTTTAAATAAATACATTAAACTTGCAAAAGAATCTCCAGTAGCAAGATATCTCAGGGTAATTGCTAGCCTTATTGAAACAGGGACACATTTTCTGTAGTTGGTGTCTTGCTTTGCAATATGAGGACTAAGTGCATTGACCAGTAACTCAAAATCTTCACACGATATACGAGTAAAATTTTTAAATCCATTTAAGGGATCTACTTTTATTTCTTCTACAAATCTATTCATTTCTTCATTCCGTCGCTGTAGAAAACGCTTCACCCAACATCGTGGTTTTCTTCTTCGTTTCTTTTTAAGCAGACTACATATTAAAACACAAGCTGCAGCACAAATCACTACGTTTTCAAGCCCGTCCATATTGAGAACTGAGGTTAGTGAGAACTTTGCTTGGTAAACATGTTCGTGCACAAGTGTGCTACACTGTACGCTTACAAAAGTTACGCACTGCTTTGCCGGTGGACACAGAAGATAAATTCGATACCAGTGAGCACGTTCAATGCTGGAGTTTCACACAAAATGTTTGGAAACAAATGTGCTGAACACTGTTTTGGTGGAATCGTACCATAATGTTAGGTGAACAAAAGGGCGCTGTAATGGAATTGCACAAATGTTTGCCAAATGCTCTAAAAAGCCCTTGCGCAAATCATACCTTGAATCTTTCGATTTCAGGAAGCAGTAGTGTCCAAGCAGTAAGAAATACTGTAGGTATAATGAAGGAAGTAATTGCGTTCTTCAAAGCATCCGCTAAAAGAAATACAGTGTTAAAAAGAAAACTAGACGGATATCAAATTCATAGTATGTGCAAAACACGATGAACCAAGATACATGATTCTGTGCTCCAATTTGAAGGCAGATTCGAGAAAATTGTAGAGGTATTAAATATTATATCAAATTGGAAAGAACGCGAAGCTTCTGCAAAAGCGGAGTCTTTGAAGACTGCCATTACTTCCACCCAATTTATCGTATCACTAAAGTGTTGGTGTGACATATTAGCTTTAACAATCAACCTAATTAAGATCTTACAATCAAAAACAATTGACAAACAACACCCTGTCAAACTCATAGGAAATATTATTTCAGTTGTACAAGAAAGACACGCAAATTCCTAAAAACACTTTAGAATACTATTTGCATCTATAATGAAATCACATGAAACCCTGGGTATTGAACTGACTGTGCCAAGAATAACAAGCATACAAATGAACAGACCGAACATAGTTACGTCTGTCAATAAAAATCATTACAGACTGAACCTATATGTCCCTTTGCTAGACAATATATTACAGGATTTGGTATACCGGTTCAATCAAGAATCTTTGAATATAGTATATACAATTTTAATATTTTTTTGCGTCAGTATTTAATTAAAAAACTGAAGCTGAAGTAAAGGACATATTAGAAACAGTCTTTAAATATTTGCATAGACTGAATAGTAACGAAAACAAAAATTTAACAAGTACCAGATTAAAAGCGGAATTTGAGCTTTGGAAGTCACATACACAAGATACAGTGGAATGTCACAGAATTTATCATGTGTTGAATTCATTTTTCCTTCAATCAATATATGTTTCTCCCATCTAAAGAGGATAAAAACTTGGCTGCGCTCCACTATGTTACAAGAGCGATTAGTACAATCATAGATCGGTTCGCCAGCAAAAAGAATAGGCGCTGTCTGGATTCAGCCTCTTTAAAATCCTTGTAGTTGGCACCGTTGTATTAAGAATGAAAGACCAACAAATTGAAGGGATAGAACTGAGCAAACTAATGAAAAGTGACTAGCTTATTTACAAAGAATTATGAATTACATTAGCGTTTTCTGTATTGTTTCAGAATTATCAAGAAGCGGTACAGTGAAGTGAGACACTTGTGTTTTAAAACACTCAACATGAATTTGAAATAAATCTATCTATATTTTCATGTAATACAATTTCTATACCATCGTCAATAGCATATGACTATTTTTTAAAACTAAATAAATTTGGTGCTTCATAATTATTAGCGTTGGATTTTATTATGCTGAACCCTTTTCTCAGTAAAATTGCTGAAAGATACCCAAATCAATTTGTATTTTAGAACCCTAAAATCTAGAGGGTATAAAATCCATACAGTGGGGATGAACTCATGAAAAAGATGCCATCGACTGTTTGAGGAACAAGTTAAATTTGGACGTTCAACCAACTGTTTTTTTGAATGCAAGTCCTGATGGACTGGTTGGTGAAGAGGCAGTTGTGGAAGTAAAGTGTCCATATTCCTTCAGAGATGACCTTTTGTCTAAAAAATTGAAGAACTCCAATGCATACATTATATCCTATAATGAAGGAGAAGTTTGCATAAGCCCAAACCATAATTATTACCACCAAATTCAGGGAAATTTACATATTTTAAAAAGATCCAAATGCTACCTGTGTATATGGACCAAAAAGAAGTAATGTCTGTACTTGTGGACTTTGATCCAGAGTGGGAAGAAAATTTAACTGTTCTAGAGAACTTTTATATTTCTCATTACTTGCCCAAACTTATGGAAAGCCAGTAATTTTTTTTCACTTTGTATGCAATTTTTTATATTAGATCATTTTAGATATTTGCTTGTTTTTTTGTCTGTTAAATTACTTTTGTTTAAACATTGCACATTAGTAATATTTTTGCATTGTGTTTATTCCATGTGTAATATCTTTAGATATGTTTAGAGATTAAAGAATTGCAAATATAACTTCCATAATGATAAATGTATAAAGGCAAAACTTTTTTTAAAATAATTTGTATAAAGCATACAAATTTTAATTATAAATTTTTAAATCTTAAGTTGTAATTTTTTCCTGTAAGCTTAGGATAGGATAGGACTTCTATTCTAAAAAAATTAGAATGAACTATTTTTGTATAATTTAAATGCAAAATAAAAAACGAAATTTACATAATATTTAACAGAATGTATTTCATGTTTAAAATTTACAATAAAAATCTTGTTTTACTGAGAATAGTATTATTGAACTTCTTTGATTAGTGGATACTGAAAATTAGTAAGAACAGCACACAACTGAAAAATTATTGATATCTGGGATATATAATAGTGGGGCACCTGCTGTGGGTTTCATATACTTGACTTTCTGTAAACTGAGGTGTGCTTGGAAACGGTGGTATGTTTAGAGATACACCAGCAGGGAGTAAGTCCTTAATAAAAAAAACTTTATCAGGTAAAATTAGGTCACCAGGAACCGTTTGCTTCAAAATATCAGAATGCTCAACTAGTTTTCTGTCTGAAGTGGATCCTGGGTATGCTTTACTGACAAAGGTAATCACTCCATTTGGTGCCACACCTACAAGTATCTTCCAAGTATTCCTGTGTTTATAGGAGCTGTATGTTAATCTCTGACTCTCCATACTTGTAGGAATTGCTGAATATATTTCTGTGCAATCTAGAGTTTTCTGCAGTTTCTGAAGCTAGCAAATTTAGCAGGGACACAAGCTTGGTTTTTATTCCTCGGAGGTAATTTTTTCATTAATTGTTTGAAAAAGACTTCATGAAGTGCATAGATCCAAGTCATAACGACATTTGTAACAGTACCTGTACTACAGTTGAAGCGAACAGCTATCTTCATGGGGTAGATTTAGACTTAATTTCATCATAGCCATCAACATCTGATCAATCTAGGGCACTAATTTTACCTGCCACTTGGCATAATACTTAAGTTTAAAAGTATCCATCATTTCGAATAGCATCATAAATAAGATACCTTTGGGAATACCAGTGTACATAAGTACATGGGAATCATTATCTTTAATGGTTTCAAAACTGAAACGGGTAGCGAGGTTTTTCATTGTTTTAGGTACTTCTTCTAATTCTGGCATTAGGAAATAATTTTCTGCTTCCAAAGATGCTCCAGATGTTCTGTTTGTACTTCTAGAACACGACGGTATGTCTTTGACACTGGATGCTGCATCAAAAAAACCTGAAGTACCAGGAATTTTCATTATCAGTAGCTGTAGAAGGCCCTGCTTCAGCAATATCCATTAGCATTGTTGTTTTTTGGTTTACTGGCTGAGGAGTTCATTTTCTGAAAAAATAATGTTAAACTTAATAAACTAAAAATCTGTTCCACTGATTTGTCTTTCATCAGTGTTAAAATATACCCATAAGACAAGCTTCTGTAACTATTAAACTTCAAGAAAAAAAAGATGAATGGACACTATGTGACAAATAAAATTCTAAACAAAGTGGTGAATATTCCGTATTTGCTAGTAGTTGCAGTAATTGTCATTAATATTTCTTTGTACTTTCCGTTTCTCGGGAGAGCTAACGTTGAATTTTCTTTTCAGGTTAAATTCGAAAAGTGTTGGTCCATTTTTTCGATCCTTGTTGACAAAATGACAGCAGCAAACTAAAGAATGTTTTGTTGGTTCCCTATCTTGCCTCCTTCAAGTTGAACTTCCTAGTTATGAAATTAACATTTTAAATTCAAAGAATGAATACCATCGTTTTCTTTCGGCTGGATCTGCAGTAAAAACAAAAGTAGTGCTTACAGTCTGGTACGAAACACATAATCATGTTTGGTTTATGGATGGAACCTAAAAAAGACAAAATCATTAATAAAACATACGTTTCTTTCAGAAATTTATTATTTTTAAGTTTTATTTGAAAATAATAACAAAACAGCAACATAACCTCAGAGCATTTGTATCCGCTCAAAATTAATAATACATGCTTACCTTGCAGAATATTTTTTGATGAATCCTTTAATATGATCACACGATACACGAAAATGTATGGTACAATCCTTATTCACACCAGATTTAAAAATAAAGGTGTAATGAAAAATACGTTATGAGCTTTTGCGTGCAATAATGGCTTTGTTTGGAAAGGATGGTAAGGCCCGCCCCCTCGTGTGACGTAGGACTTAGATAGTCCCATTACCAGCTCTACTTCCCCCACCACTGTTAAGGCGGTGGGGGAAGTACAGGGAAATTTACTCCGAGTCACCCAGTATTATCCAGTTCCGAGCTAGCAGCCGTCGCGAGTGTACACTTGTGCGACTGCGACCCACCCGGACTTACTGTGCGATCATATTGCGATTTTCATCACGATACGATGGCGGAAATCGAGAAGTTGGCAAACCAGCTGAAGCAAAAACAAGGTGTGTTCACCTTGCTCGCAGAGCAAATGAAGAACCTGCGGGAAGCTTTCATGCAGGCAAAACAGGAGATAGAGGAAGTCAAAGGGAAGCTCCTCAAGGCGAAGAGGAAAGCGAAGAAGACCGTAGCAGAAGAAGAAGACGAGGACCAGAAAGACGAGGATCATCAGCCTACGGGCAACAGGGACATGGACGCTCAAGAAGAAGAAGCAATGGACAGCAAACAACTGCAAGAAGAAGCACAGAAGAGGACAGCCGACAAGGATGACGCAGACTTCAGTGTCGTCACCGGGCGGAGAAAACGAATAAGAGTTTCCTCCTCCGAAGAAGAAGATGAGTCGTCCAGGCAGCCAAAGATGCCAGCTGCCACCAAGAAGAGAGGTCCTAGAGAAGCCAGTACCATTGTGGCCCCCATGTCAGGAACAGGAGTTTCTCCAATCAACATTGAGGACACCACTGATTGGTCATCCTTAAGCAGGTTGATCAACAATAAGGGAATCCAATTCTCTAAAGCGAGGACTGCAGGGAACAGTGTGAAGGTGTTTACCAACACACCGGCAGTCTACCGTCAGCTAGTAACCCTGCTAGACTCAATGAAGAGGCACTTCTTCACTTACCAACTGAAGGAGGAAAAGATATACCAGAGGGTAATTCGAGGACTACCCAGAGAGATGTCAACTGAGGACATCAAAGAGGATTTAGTGAGCCAAGGGATCGCAGACGCCGAGGTTCAACAGCTGAGGACCAGGAACACCAAGCAGCCGCTACCCTCTTCCTCGTGAAGACGAGGATGGCGGAAAAGCTGCAGGCGGTCCAGAGGCTGGCCATGCTCACGGTCCATCAGCCTGGTTTCCTCGATGGGCAAAGTAGTCGAAAAGGCTATCGCCTTTCGACTAGAGAAGCAGGCAGAAGAACTGGAACTTCTCCCCCCAAAGCAATTCGGCTTCAAATCCTCCCACAACACGGAACTCCAAGCGCTACGACTGACAGAAAACATCACCAGTGGCTTCAATCTCCAGGAGGCAACCGGCCTCGTCCTGCTGGACGTGGAACGAGCCTTCGACCGAGTTTGGCACGATGGACTCATCGCCAAAATAGAAGCCGCCGGAATCGATGCAAACATGCGCCAACTGATCCAGAGCTATCTAACACAAAGATGGTTCACGGTGAAAATTGGTACATGCCACTCAACAAGACGACAGCCGGAAGCAGGCGTGCCCCAGTGGTCAGCCTTAGCCCCCCTGCTCTACAACATCTCTACACTCACGACGTACCGAAGACAGCTGACACAATGCTGGCCCTATATGCAGACGACACTGCTATAGCCACCAAGCATCGACGACCCGAGATCATCCGTAGGAGACTACAGGATGAACTGGACCACATCCAGGACTGGTGCGTGAAATGGAAAATCCGCATCAACGTCCAGAAGACGCAGGCAATCTTCATCCAACGAAGAAGGATTGCAAGATCTCTCGAAGCATCCATCTTCGACGAAGATATCCAGTGGAGCGACAAAGTCAAATATCTGGGGATCGTATTTGACAAGTTCGTCACCTGGAAAGATCACATAGAAGCTGTCATCGTAAAGACCAGAGCAGCCATGGCCCAACTCTACCCATTACTGGGTAGACACAGCCCGATGCCGCTAGCGACCAAGCTACGGCTGATCAAGGCCATCGCCAGACCACAGCTCGCTTACGCATCCGCGGTCTGGGGGTACGCTGCTCCCAGCTACCGCAAGCGACTTGCTGCTCTAGAGAAGCTACTCTGGATCACCACCAGTGCACCATCCTACGTAAGAAACTCAACCTTGCGTAGACACCTGCATTGGGACACCATTCACGAGTACATGAGGAAAAAAGCGGAGAAGACCTTCCAGAAAGCTCAGGACCACTCGAACGAGCAGCTACGACTGGTCGTGGACTACGATCCGGACGAGAGGCCTCGCAACCGCAGAGCCAAGTACCCTAGACCCAAGTCCCAGTTGGCTGGAACCTTGACTAGGAGACTAGAAGGACCCGCGGCCCCCCCCCCCACGGCGTGGAAACAGAGGACGAGGACCAGAACGCCCACGACCAGATCCCATCAGGACCAGGAACCACCAGCAACAGGACCAGGACCCATCAGGACCAGGACCAACCAGGACCAGGACCCATCAGGACCAAGACCAACCAGGACCAGGACCCATCAGGACCTGGTAACATACAAGTAGTAGAGGACTTAAAACTCTTGATTTTTCTAAAACAAGAGTTTCAAGTGAACATAGCAAACCCTGTATCGATGCTCGCTTAACGACATCGATAGAACTGTGCGAGGTAAAGGGAACCAACCCGGCGTTCCCAGAGACTGAAACACATGAGGAGACGTTGTAGCAGACCACAGGTCTGAGTCGGGCCATGCGGAGGTTGGGGTTTAGTGGGTATTACGTGGTCTCCTCAAGACAACCTGGAGTCCCACACACGCCGTAGCTCGGGCTACGGTATGGTGCATAAACGCATTCCCCCTCACAAAAAAAAAGTATTATCCAAACGGATTGCTAAACGAGCACCCCACGGAAGAGGACTTCGATGGTGGGATGAGTTATAAAGTCTTCCTTATCGGTCTGTTGATTGTATATTTGCGCGCTATAAGGTAAAGTGCTTTAAATAACACAGTGTGGAATAACCAGTGAAAAGCCCCGAGACAGATCAATTTTATATATCTGATTGATAGTCTGGTATGTTACTAAAGCAGATTCCGGAAAAACCACCGCTTTCGTACTCTTGTACTACTCCAAGGCATTTGATAAAGTAAATCATGAAATATTGACTGGTATTTTACACTACAGAGTCTGCTGTCACGCTTATGTGCCACTATTTAACAAACAAAACAAAATACGTATAAACAGAAGAAGGGAATTCTGCCAAACATGTCATCCCGTCGGATATACCACAAGGTTCCACTTTAGGTCCTCTGTTTTTCAGTATTAGTAGCTCCAATCTTTCCCTTGTCTCCGAAATTGTCAGATACATTTGTATGCGGACGATACTCAGCTTTATTATAGATTAATGCCAGCAAATCACATCTTAAGTTATTTGGCAGATGAAAAGACAATATTGAGCCCACTTGTCATGTCAAAATCAGAAATGAATCTATAGCTTATTCAGCCATGTGAAAAATTTAGGAGTAGAATTTGAGTCAAATCTAAGATTCAACAGTCATATTAATAAATGTATCCAGAAAGCTTAAGTTTCTCTGGAAGTTTTATCTGCTCATCGATATGTCCTCCCTGTTCGACTTACAATATTGTAGGTATGTTAAAAAATAATGGAGTAGTTCATTATTTTTCCTTCTAATCGTTTTTGTAATACATTTTCTTAATCATAATAATAGATTTTTTATTAATCTATTATACATCATAACTTGCCCATCTTAATTGATTTTTGTAAATAGCGCCATCAGTACGGTAGATGCAAGAACCCGAAGTAAGTTCACAATTCACTAACTTGAACACGCAGACGTAGGTAAAAGGCGACGCCATCTGTCAGTAGATAAACAGTTTTATACCTTTTCGAACGGTTTTCTCTCTTTGAGAAGCGTAAACAGTAATTCTTGATTAACAGTAAAAATGTCCTCCAAAGATGAATGAGCTAAAAGCGGCTGTAGAAAATATTTCAAAATGAAGAAGGGCACAAGATGCAAGTGTTACCCGGAAGAATTGAGGCTTTGAAGCTTAAGATCCCCCTCCCCCTTCAGAACTACACGGCCTAATAGGTTTTCTCATATAATACCTTTTGCGAAATGAAAGCCTCCTCCATGGACAGATGCAACCCCGCATGCGAATCGAGACTATGATTTAGACCCACCCCCGCTCCTCAGTTTTCAATTGCCGATACCTCCCCCGCCCACATACTCCTGAAGATCAATCTTGAGGCGCGCCCCCCTCTCACAACCAGAACCACGCTGCGGTAATATCGCAAAATTTTAAGCTGGAAGGTTGCCGGTTTGGTTATTTATACATTAATCATCTTATCTGGTTTTTGTTAGAAATTATAGCGTTTCCAACCACGTATTCAGCCTCAAAGTACCTGCGAACGGTGAGGCGCTATAGTGACTACAAGAAAGCATGCTTCTTATCTCTATCACATGGACATCTGGTTTATAGGAGTTTTAGTTATAGTATACAACTTACAGCTTAGACCTCCAATAACATCATCTCTGAAGCAGATGTTACATCACATCAGAGCCAAACATAGGTAGCTGAAGCATCATGACATTTAGGCAACACGTACGGTTACAAAGTGATTTCATATCAAGTGTACAACAGGTAGTGCTAAGTTGACATCTTGTCACTTTTCAAGATATGTAATACCCGTCGTTTGAACTGCCCAAGAATAATAGAACTGGGAAAAGCCTCCTGGGACAGATTGTTCCACAATCTCGGCAGCCTAGAGACAAGGAAGCGGTCGTATCGGCCAGTTCTGGATGCACGAAGTTTGACACCGTTAGGATGGGGGACCGAAGTAGGTGAATCTGACTAGAAACGCGCGGTGGCATCGTGGAGGACAGCTTTGAGGAGCAAAGGTCGTTGCCATAGTGGTAGAAGGGAGCTAGGTCGACGACGGCTTGTGGATAGAGAAGAGTCATCGATGAGTCAGACAGCCCTCCTATAAACAGCATCGACCATGGTTTAATCAGTCGAGGCGGCAGCACCCAAAACATGTAAGCGGTACTCGAGGCTACGTCTTATCTAGGCCTTGTGCAGTCTTCAGAATAAGGAGAAAGTGCTTCTTAGCCCTAAACAATAAGCCTAGCCTTTCCCAGCAGCGGTCCTCGGTGATCTGGACTCCGTCGAGTCGAAATGAACTGCTACTTGGTAGAACTCGGCCACATAGAAACCTAATGAGTGCGAGGGTGCCGGAAACCATACTGTCTGTCGCTGATCAAGCCGTGATGTTCAAAATACACCAGGTGCACCTCTCAATCACCCTACTTATGACATAAAGCAGAACTATAGGAGTATCTATAGTTCTAAGTTTTGGTCTTAGATCATTTTTTGGACGGGCTTAATATGAGCAAATTTGCAGTATTCTGGATAATTATCAGATTCAAAAGATAGCTGAGCTGAGAAATAGAGCAGGCTCCGCTGCACATATTTTGAGTACAACAGAAGTAAATAAATTTGAAGTATGTCGATTTTTTTTTGATTTTCCACTGAAACTTTCTCACAATTGCTACTGAACTCACCAATCTTGGCCAAACTTGCAAAGAATATCCATAGCCCAATAATGAATGGCGTCTCCACCCTGTGAAAGGACACCGAGATGACGGGATACCTGGATACATGTCTCTTCGTTGGTCCATCTTCACCCCCTATAGAGAACCCATGATCATCGGCGGAAACATCTAGGGTCGTAGTAGGCTCTGGAAATGTCTCTTGCGTCAACGGAACTGTCAATAGAGGCGGGGTGTTGGCGGACTGGAGAGGGGGGGACGTCGGAATTATTCTGCAAAAAATACAAAAATTAAATGAGAAAATGAATGTTTTTGAGGCACCCATTATAGATAATTCCTTAGCCAGCCTACAAGAATATACATATAGGTATTTTCATCGAAGGAACATTTACACCTACTGATGCTACGAAGCCCTGCTACCTATCGAACTATGCCTTGGCCTTCTTGTTTGTTTAAAACGATGGTATCACAGGGTAAAAGTGCTACGCCTAAACTTTTATGTACCGATTGGGGCTTAGGTGTGGAGAACTCGGCTATATGCAATGACAACAGCAAAGTTTTTAGTGGTTAGGTACCCGTAAAACGTATAATGGGATTCGCAGAAGACTACAAAAAAGGATTCTAAATATAAAACAAAAGCTTCTGTTGGTTATTGCAAGATCCTTCAAAAACTGTTATGTCACTGAATGTGATGCAGAATTGACCATATCCAAGATTGAATGGAACGTTCAGCACATTGTTCCGGAGGACCGTTAAAAGGTCAACTAGAACAACAAGTGAAGTGGAGAGACGTCTATTCGTTATTATTGGATTTCAAGATTCTGCAATTGAAGAAAATTGTTAGAACTATATAGCGAAATCCATAAATGCCAACATCAACTCGATTCGTTTGAAGTTGGACACTAATGTTCTAATATTTTATTAATGGCTATCACAGAAATTTCCTCATAAAATATCGTTGGTCCCTCGTAAAGTCGGTTTTCTAGGGTCTGGTCATAGGCAACCGGCGATGTTGTGGAATGCTCTTCTACTTTTGACATTGAGTGACAGTCAACTGACTGACTAACGGAAGACCGGTCCGTCATTCATTGCCAGCTTTACCGTTGGTTGAGAAGGTGTATCGGCCCTTCACCTGGTTTCCAAATTTTTGTATATTGGGCCCCAATCACCAGGGTTCTTGGTTATTGTTTGGTGCTACTCAATTTTTATGGGATCTTAACCTCTTCAGCGTTGGAAGGCATTGAGAAAAACCACCATCCATACTCCCTAGCTTTGTAGCCGGTTGTAGACGATTTTGCTGGTAACCGCTTCTTTTTCTTGATAAATAAACCCTCATGTAAACAGGTAGAATATAATTTCAGTTAACTGTTTCATTTTTATTATAGAGTGTACTTAATTTTGTCTCGCATTTTTCGTGTTCAAATATGGAACAGTGGCACCTTCTACTGAGCTTACCTGATTACATTGTTCATTATTTTGATTTTTGAGCTGGCATAACTTTTTTAGAACAAAGTATAACTTTTCGGGAGTGTATTACTGATTTGAGTTTTCTTTTTTGTCCTTGCTTTACTTTTCTTATAAAAATGTACATGGTTTTTCAAGTTCGAGTGTCTTAATGAGTAGTTTTATCTCATAACAAAATAGAGAGTGGATCTTTAAGCAGTCTTTATCTCAGTCTGGTCACTGGTTTTAAACAAAAACCTCAGTATTTATGAGCTGAGGTGATCTGGCTACGCCTAGGGCCATAACTGGAAGAAGACAACAATCCAGCTAAGTTTTGGTTTTAGTTTTCTTTTTTATAAACTCCACTCTGGTGCTATAATATTTGTAAAACCTTCGTTCGTATACCATGGTAAATGTTTAGCGGAATTAAATTTCAAACATCTCCTGGTGCTGCCGTTTTAAATAGAGCAATTTTTCCCCTGAAGGGAAGAAAACTGATATTTCGGGTCTTGCCATAAGCCTGACCGTTGAGATTACCCTCTTCATTTACAGCGTTGTGAGTGGTGTATCCCGCCTTTCCTCTCGACTTCACTTACCCCATTGTAGCATCTCAACCCCTACGCCTATGAGTATCCCCCACTCCGCGACGTAGCTAGCCGGCAAGTGGCGAGTTTCTCGCTTATTCTTCAGTACCTTTAAGCCGGCAAGGAATTTCCTAGGTCAGGCCTATGGCAAGACCCGAAATATCAATTTTCTTCCTTTCAGGGGGAAAATTGATCTATCTCGACTCTGTGCCTACGGCCTGACCGTTGAGATCTGTTTATGTTCTGCCGGCTAGGGGGGCGTACTGTGAGAATGTGTGTAGCCTATAAATCTCCGAATCGAGAACTGAAAACATAATAATATAAACATAAGGAACATTCTGCCTGACTAGGTCATTGAATAAATGTATGGTTGGTAGGTAAGTAACATAAAACTAAACTTATTAGTCTTTCAAAAACTTATGACAGAGCTAAATTATCCGTTTACTTCAAACAGGAATAAAGGAACTCAATATTGGTTCCGGTCTTTTGACAACACCGTATGGAGCTTTTTTGACTTATTTGTATACGTATAAGCATCTTTGGTAGATTGTTCGATCCGGAATGGGAAAGAACTCCTATTTATGAAAATATTTTTGGTATCCTCTAACCGTTGCAATCAATGCACAAGAACTGTGACATATGATTTATAGAATAACCCGCTGGCCTATCAACACAAATTTAACATACAGGTCGCCTAGCCGTGGGGATGCAGTGGTCGGGATGAATATCACGCCAGCAACTGATGATTTGGGCATGTCTGGTAACAACGTATGAAGTGAAACTCGCTAACTTCACAAATTTGAAGATTTTGTACAATTTCTTTGAGTATGATGAAAGGTATGTCTGATTTGGCAAGATAATGTCGCAGCCAAACGGCAGTCGGCCATTCTGGACGCTGGCCAAGCAGATTGAAAAAAACCTCCACACTTACGTGTCAGGTTGGAATGATTGTAACTGACTCGAAGGCCAAGGTTGGAGTGCTTGCCAAGATCTTTGCTGCCTACTACACCGTGGATGCCCCCCAACAAAGTTTCTGGTCCGAACTTGATTGTACTGAAGAGGTGTGCAGCGGAGCTTGCTCCAGTTCTTTCGCGTCTCTTCAAGATATCTTATGAATCCAGAAAACTGTAAATTTGCTCATGTCCAACCCATCCCAAAAAAAGGATCTGAAAGCGACCCTTACAACTACAGGCATATAGCTCTGCTTTGTTATAAGTAAGGTGATGAGAGGTGCATAAATAGTGAGCTTCTGGACTACCTCGAACGTCTTGGCTTGATTAGCATAATGATGTAAAGGAAGATGAGGAATTGGATGGAATGTATTTTATATTCCATTTTCTTAAAAAAAAACGACAAATCTACACTATTCAACAGGTATGTAGCTATAATGATAACATACACCTATAAACACCTATAAACTTAACAAATTCCAGATTGCCATGCATTAACAAACGTCAAAACCTGCTGCCAAATTTAACAGCTAGAAAATCGACATATTATTTCTCCCATACCCATTCGCTGAGGGGATAACGGATTATCAAATGTAAACTTATAACATAAATCAAAATACATGAAAGTTGTCCTGTTGTCTCTGTACAAAAGCATTATGTTGGAATAAAAAGTGGCCTTGTTTATAATACAGTCGAATTTTCACGATTATATTCAATATTTTCATAGAAATCACTGATATTCAGAGACCATTGACAGCTTCCATCAAATTGCATTTCGATAAGGTATTTTCCCATTGGTCCATAATATTAATGTTGGTGAAATTGATTCTTGTCTCTATAGGTTATTGGTAGCTCAAAGTTATTAATATCGTCGGTTATCTACTCTGTAGATACCCCCCTAGTCCAAGGAGAGGGGGGGGGGTTATCACGTGCCAAAATCACGGAACCTTTTTTCACTATTTTGTTCACTTACTAGTAATTTTAATTTCTCTTTATTAATGGTAGAGTGCCCATAACTAGGCCAACCCCTTTTCAATGATTTTCTTTAGGTAAATATCATAGTTTATTGATTGTATAATTTCACACGTATTATGTGTTTCTTTCTGAGTGATTCAGTATTGTGTTAGAGAAAAAACTGCTGAACGTATATTCTTCAATGCCGCTCATTGAATGTATTGTATCAGAAAAAAAACTCTGTGGCTTTTCTCCGTTACTTGCTTTCTTGTTGAACGTAGCTTCATCAAGGGCACCTATTGAACCTTCCTTTATACAGTTAGGTGTTTCGTGTCAGTCACCTTCCTCCTGAGATTTTGATGTGCGCGCCATTGGCTTAATTTACAGATTCTGGTATATTAGGTGCCGAACACCGTGGTGTAGTTCCCCTTCATTTAGTACCATAAGTTTAGTTCTTTTGGTTTGGGTGGTACCCCTTCCATTTTCTTATGGGATTTTAATCTTCAGCGGTAAGTCATTTTTTCTTATACCATCGGACCACGTCCATTAATAAACGTCCTGAAGAAGTTTGTTCAATATCTGCTTCCTTTTAGTGGGAAGGCATTGCGGAAAAACACCGCACACTCCTCCAGCTTTGCTTGTAGCAGTTTTGCAGTTAGTATTGGCGGAAGTCTTCCACTTAGCAGAAAAAACCCTGATGTGAACGGGTAAAATATTTTAATTGACGATTTTATAGATATTATTCATATATTGATTATTGCAGACTGAAATAGAGTGTAATTGATTTTGTTTGTATTTTACGTATTTAAATATGGGGCAGCGCCTACATGGTACCTTTTATTGGGCATTACATTAGGTTGATCATGATTTTGATTTTTGAGCTGCCATAACTTTATTTCAGAACAAGGGAAATATTTCTGGGGGTATATCACTTTAGTACATTTTTATATTTGTTTACCTTTGCTATACTTTTCTTGCAATGAGTAGTTTTGTCTCTGACAGAGGGTAGAGAGTAGATTTTTTTAACAGTCTGTCTATTTCTAGAGATTTTTATGGCCATACCGTAAATTTTGGAGACCGAGGCAAGCAACCTTGTGGCTTTGAGGCCCTACTGGCTTTTTTTCCTTCTCGACCTGAGCACTAGTTAGCTATGTACATCTCGCCTGCGCTTAACCTCAACTAGGAGAATCCAGATAATTTTTATTTAGGCGTAAAAATAATTGTAAAGCTTGTACCATGGTAAACGTCTCGGTCAAATAATTTTATTGTACGATAGTTGTTTTTGGTAATATCCTTTCCATTCAACTAGCACTCCAGTAGCGGAGCATTAGTTTGTGCTGT